TTTGAAGAGACATGAATTCCCCTTGAATATCGGAATAATATACTGGGTGTTCCATTTAAAATAAAAGATATAAAGGCGACCAATGTTCAATATTAATTTTGTCTCACTCTGTATAACTTTTCGGGTCAAATTTCAATTTTGTTTAACATACAGTGGTTATTGTAATTAAATATCAGGCTATACAAGGTCAACTAAAATTCTCACAAAATGTGAAATATATCAAAATCCTTAGATTATAGGTATATGCTTCTTTAATAAAACTCACCTTTATTTTTTTCCTAGAATCCGAAAATCAATTAATATATAGGGTGTTCCATTACAAAAACACAACTTTAATATATAACTTTTTTGGGGGACACCCTGTAGAACTCTATATAATTTTAAAAAGTGTTCTGAATTAACCTACATATGCTCACAAAATTTCATTTCAATAGAAACTGTCGTCCTCCGCGGCGTATGAGAGGCGCCACCCTGTACATATTATACGATATCGGGAAGGAGTCTGTTCTAATTCAAACTCAATCCAAAATTATAACCTGTGTTGAATTTAAAATTATTTTTTTCAGTCACTTAGTATACATTGTCAAACGATAGCAGACTACCGGTCTTTTAAAACGTATAAAATTAGCACAAACCTGCGACCTTTTCTATAACACCATGTGTGCTACCTGTTGACATTTTTAGTTATTTATGAACCTATGATATTTCCTTCACAGTTGATTTAAAGATCAAATATATTCACCCAGTAAATTATTTCTATCGGCTTAAAAAAGAGAAAGATGTTTAAGAACTTTTCGTTCTTCCAAGGACAACAAATAGCCCATGATCTAGAGGCAATCTAGATTAGAACAGTAGTTGTTTGATTTCCAATTAGGTCTACTTATGACAAATTCAGCAAAAGGTTAAATTCAATTCAAATATCAGAGAGATGATTTTTATCATTTAATTAGAATTACATCTTTTTGTATGTTAACGACATAATATTCTTATGCGTTATTTGTACAGGGTGGCGCACAGGGCCGGCGGAAGGGAAATATTGAGACCGGGCGAGTACCCTACCTAGCGCCCCCCAATACACTACTCAAAACAATTATTGCATATTTGGATAAAAGTGATTATTACATATTTCTAAATGAAACATGCATTTTTCTGCCTTTCACTTGTGATTTTTTTAGAATAATTAGGGTACGTACTGATATGTAATTTTTAGTCGGCCGACTGGGGTGCGTCTCGAAAGTGACTCACCCGTATAATTTTTTTATTTCTTTAGATAAAAAACGAGATTTGGTATGTTAATATATGACATAAATTAGAATTGATTGGACCACTTTCTGTTTCACCGGAAATGACTAAAATTTTTGATTTTTAAATCTCGGTATATTTCTACTTTATTCGATAGAAAATGACACTGAGTAGAATGAAATATGTCAACTTTGGGCATTTTCTTTCAAAAAATATTATATTTTAAATTTCCATCTACAGTGCCATGGTTCTGTTAAAAATATCTACTAATTTTTAAACAAGGAGCCTTGGAAAAATAGATTTGATCGTCTAATGTTTTTCGTGTTTTGTCCTGGCCGGTTAAAAGATGCCAAAATCGTATTTTTAATCGAAAATGTCAAAAGTTGACATATGTCATAAAGTAGAGGGTGCTATTTAAATACCGAGGGTGCCATTTAAAAATCAAAAGTTGTAGTCATTTCCGGTGAAACAGGAAGTTACCAAAAACAATTGAATAGGTCAATTAATCCTAACTTCTGTCGTATACTAACTTACCATTTCGTTTTTTCATCTGAAAAAATAAACAAGTTATAGGGGATGAGCCACTTTTGAAACGCATCCCGTATAATATAGAGTTATAAGAAATAGAATTCCAACTTCGGCAGTCTCGTCTGGTATAAGTGATCTTTGAAAATATTAGTATTCAGTTTCAAGCAGTTGCATTATTTTTCTATAAGAATTTAAGAAAAATTTCTTTTCTTTTTCACAATCAATTATTTCGTGCAGAATCAGTTTATGATCAGATATAGTTTTGTCGGCTTCAAAATGAGGTTACTCATTTTGAAGTGAAAGATGCATTCTTTTGTCGTGCCCTAATCAGAAAATTCTACGATTCTGCTACCATTTTCCGTGTATTACTACACATTCAATTCGGAACAACCAAAACCACCAAAAGATTGATATCTTTTCCCACTACTGTTAATAAATTAATTTAATTAATGAGGCAAACTTATTAGCTTTATTTTATAATAAGGATATCGGGATCTCTTTAGCTTCTTGCGAATAAATATTTACCTCATATAATTTTAGGGTATATCAGCCATTAATAACAAATAAAAGGTGAGGGTAGTAGAAAAAGTGCGATTTTGAGCAGTCAGTCTAAAACTATCAATTTTGCTGGCTCTTGACCCAAAATAGTTCGTTTAGAGAAAATGTATAAAAACAAGAATTATAGAAAGAAAGGTTATTTATAAAAAGTTGATAGCTTTTGAGTTATAAGTAAAATAACACGAACAAATCAGATTTATATTTTTTTATTTTATTTTAAGATTTTTCCACGAAAATGGATTCGCAAATCGAAAAAACATATAGAATAGAAGAAATCAAAACTATCCGGAAGCCTTTGTGCTAAGGATTTTTTGAGCATAATTTCAGTAAATTATAATAGGATACGTCTAGGATATAGTAGTGTTTATAATGTTTAATCAGATATTCTTCCCTATGTGGTGTGGCAATTGCTAATATTTTAATGTGGAAATTAATAGTACCGATTAATTATTGATCTGATTATCCATTACTGTTTGTTTAGATTACTTTTTTTAAATATTTTAGTTGCTGTCGTGGCGCCCCTCAAATACGGCGCCCGGGGCGGCCGCCCGGGTCGCCCGGCCCTTCCGCCGGCCCTGGTGGCGCATCTCATACGCCGCGGAAGCTCCAAGGAGAACGGTGGTTTATATCGAAATGAAATTTTGGCAGCATATGTAGGTTAACTGAAAGTATTTTATAAAGTTGTGTTTTTTCTAATATAACACCCTATATATTAATTGATTTTCGGATTATAAGAAAAAAATAAAGGTGAGTTTTATTAAAGAAGCATATACCTAAAATCTAAGGATTTTGACATATTTCACATTTTGTGAAAATAAGGAGTAAATTTTAAATTTCGATAATAATAGCTACCTTAATTTTAGTTGACCTTGTACAGCCTGATATTTAATTACAGTAACTATTGTATGTTAAATCAAATTGAAATTTGACCCGAAAAGTCAAAATTAATATGGAACATTAGTCACTTTTAAAAGCAAGTTATTCCTTTATTTTAAATGGAACACCTAGTATATGTTTCCGGTGTTCAATGGGATATTTATATATCTTCAAAATATTATTAAGGTTGCCCCTCTACAAATATTTTCCTAGATATTTTAATTTTTATGATTTTGCGTCAGTAGATCTTTATTATTTGAAAAATCTAGGGTGGCTATGTGATATACCTTTTGTTAATTTAACAAAAATTAAAGATTGTAGAGTAAAATACTCAACGGTAATAAAAAGATACACGTTTAAAACATATCTTAATTATTACAGAATTAAAACTAGATATAAACCTATAATTATGTGACAAAAATTAGCTAGATGACATCAAATGCTCAAAATGCTTCTTTCCTGTTAACTCCATAAAATGATTGTCTTCTCAAAAGGATCTTTTCATTTTAAAAGGCATTATGTGGAGGTCTACCTCAAAGAGCAGCTACAATAATTTCTTTTTCTATATATATTAGACTATCAAAATGTTGATCTAATAACAATTTGACGTTTATACTATTACGCGAAAAGCAACTTTTTTCCAAGCCTACCATGACTTCACTGAATCATCGTTTCTTGTTCACTATTATTAATATCTTAATTATTAGATATTAATACATCTGGTATTATGGTATTCTGGTATTTCGTCGATTTTAAAATAAACTAATTGTTTCTATCTTATTTTTTTGTTAGAATGGGCCTAATCAAGTGGGCTACTGATACTGTCTTGTAAAAATAAGGTAATTAAGGGCTTATATTTTGGTATTTATTATAATTTTGCTAATATCTTCGGTTTGAAAGAAGATATCAAGATGCGGTTTTCGCTGACTTTCTAAGCTTTTACTACTCTTTACTATCAGCTAAAATAACACATACTATCGTATTTAATTTTTTTGAAAAAACGCGCTGTTTGTAAAATTGTAAGCAAGCGCCCACTAGCGTCTACGTTCAAAACACTATTATTATTATTTTTATGGTTTAATATAGAATAAGAAACACTCTTTTAAACGAGCCCTCGTTTGTTGGATTTTAATCGTCCAGAGTCCGGAGTTATTAACATTTAAATAAAGATAGATCTAACCTTCCCCCACCACTTCATTTTAGCAAATAGGAGAAAATGGTTTAAACAAAAAAAAATCCAAAATTTACTGAAGATTATGAAACATATATATTATTTATAGTACCTATTATCTAGGCAAAATTATGTAAAAAATCTATTTTCTTATTTTCCATAGCAGTTGCGCCACCTAGCGGCCGTTTTACAAACTTGAAAATAATTTTCAGCAATTTCTCATAGCCCCTTTAGATATAAATATTTTTTTTCCGTAAGCACTACGGCTAATACTTTCCGAGATATAGCCGAGAGCTATTCTTATTGGGACACCCGGTACAATAGTTAATTTAACTACATATTAGGCTTGAGTATATAGTATATAGTAGGCTTTCAGTATAGTATAGTAGGCTTTCAAAGTATTTACATACTTTGGAACTTATCGTATGGCATACTAGATATATAGATCTAAGATTCGCTATTTATTTTATTCAAAATAATCAACATTTAAATTTTTTGCATTTTTTTTAACTTCTATTCAAAAATACCTTCATTTCCTCTATTATTAAAAAATACGTAGAAATAATATTTTTTCTATTAGACAAATTTCATGTAGGACAAATTCATATACCAAAATATTTCTAACCTGAGTATATTCGGAGCAAATGTCTATTCCATTAACAAAATTTGCCACGTCTTCAACTGTCCAACTACTGATATCTTCCTGTAATTTGGGACTTTCACTTTCAGATCTCTTCTGTAGGCTCGGTGAAGTAGCTGGGTGGGCATTACAAGGACTGCCCAACGACGGCGTTTTAATCCGTGCTCGTTTTGGGGGCGGCGCGGCGGAAGATAAGTCCAACGGAGACGCACTGTCTTGTCGTTTGACATTTTTAAGCAAACCCTAATATGAAAAAAAAAGTATTAATTTTATTGTAACAGAGAATTTGCACATTTTTTAAAATTACGAATAATTAATTCGTCGTGTCTCGAAACAAATGAAGGGTTAATCGGAACCTATGTTGATATGAAAAATCAATCTTATTTTTACGTGAGGAATCTCCCCACGAGAGATGGCACATGTTTTTTGAAACACCCGGTATATTTTTATTTTCAGAACCATGACATAGAAATAAAACTAAAAACCTATATTTCAAACAAAAATATTTTATAACAACAAATAATGATATATAGAAGGGGCATTAAAAATATGAAAGTACATTATTAAATTAAACGATGAATTTGCTTTTGCCAGATATTTTTTGTGCGAGAAAATCTAAAAACAAAGATCTTAAGACAAAAAAACCTATAGCGGAGGACGACATTGTTGATGGTTGTTTTCATTTTGAAATCCACACACAGAGAAAGGCTATTTTAATTTGGTATTTTGTTTCTTCACATCTAGAAACAGTGGCTGCTGAAAACGGGGACATCTTGGACACAAATTGCAGAAAATGTTTCGAAACATTTTCTCTAAAAGTTTTGAATTCGCATCGAAACATTTACGGCATGAAACGGCTAGTGCCACCACATTGGAAACAGATGTAATAAACCTATATAAAATATAAAAGTTTCGAAAATGTTTCTTATTTGTGGCATACCATTTCCATTTTGTGTCAAGAAACAGACCTTATTATTAGAAACATTACCTAAAATGTGTCCGAAAATGCTACTTGGGATATTTACTTAATATGGATATTGTTAGTAAGTAGTAAGGTGAGTTATTTTAGTGGTGCATATAGAATACATGTAGGTACAATATGTATAACAAAGTTTTATACAATACTCCAGTAATCCGGATACCTCATTAATTCGGCTGTAGCTGTTCCGATATTATATGTCCAAATTATGTGATATGTGTCATTATACAGGGTGTCCCAGTTCAAACGAAACAAAGCAATTTAAAGGCATTTCTGGTGTGAAAAGGACAAAACGGTGAAACACGTCAACTTTATTTTTGAAGGGGAAATAGATGCGACTATTTTTGAAGCCCCTAATTCAAACCCCACGCGGGGGTGACATTCACCCTTAAAATCTTAAATGTAATGCGGGGTCGAGTAGCACATCATTTGAAAGGTTATTAAAGCCTCTTTTCAGCGCCGTTTCATTTTTGGAGTTTTTGTCACATTTGTTAATCGGGCTGAAAAATAAACTTTTCATAAATTGATGATGCTTTGATATTTGATTAATTGTACAGAAATCGAAATGGTGTCTAAAATAAGAAATTTAGATTAAATCAACAAGATTTTGCTTAATGAATAATACACAAAAAGTAGTACAATGCTTTGAAACAATTGTGGCGATTTACTGTTCCGTAGATGAAAAATGTACATTCATCCGAAAAGCACATGTTGAAAAGAAGACGTGTACTAGCCGATAAGAAACAAAAATGTAAAGAAGTTTTTGGTAGGTAAAAAATTGTTTTTATTAATATCTTATCTTCTTTTGAGGCAGTACTGCTAAATATTTTTCATCCTGTCATTCAGTTTGGAAGTATTCTTAATATTTCGTACGACTTACTATTCTTAGTATTATCGTAAGAGTATTTAGTATTATTGTGAATTGACGTGATGGTTTATTCTACTGCAGATAAAGTTGAGATAATTGAAACTTTCTTTAGTCATGACGGATGTGGCGATAGAAGGCACAGTTATAGAATGACCGACCATCCAGATAAACATTCAGTCAATAGAAAGTACGTGGTGGAATTAGTAGCTAAATTTACAGAAACTGGAAGTGTTCTTACAAAGAAGCGAGAAGTTCCACCTGGTGTAGTTAACAATGAGGCGATGCAAATAGTAGTGGGGCAAATCCATGCCGAACCAAGAATAAGTGTTAGACAATTGGCAACAGCCACAGGTATAAGTAAGAGTAGTGTTCACAAGATACTAAAGTTCCACAAATTCCATCCTTACAAATTTCATCTGGTCCAAGAATTGAACGAAGATAATTACGACAGACGATTAAAATTCTGTGAAGAATTAAGTGAAATGCTCATTGCTACTCCACGTCTTTTTTTCAACATGTGCTTTTCGGATGAATGTATATTTTTCCTCAATGGAACAGTAAATCGCCACAATTGTCGCTACTGGTCTGATACCAATCCTAGGCAATTTTGTGAGGTTCATACTCAGTACTCTGAAAAAATTAATGTGTGGGCTGGAATCTTTGGCGACTCTTTAGTTAGCCCGTTCTTTGTGGATGGAAATCTAAATGGAAATATGTATCTGGATCTTTTGGAAAATGCCATAAATCCCAGCATTCCACAAATAATTGAGAATAAAGATCATCTATGACGAAAATCAACGTGTTTGAAAAAGATGGAGCTCCTCCACACTATGCTGTACGTGTGCGGCTGTATCTTGATGAAACATTTCCCGGTCGGTGGATTGGAAGAAAGGGACCCTTTCTTGAATGGCCAGCTAGGTCACCGGATTTGTCTCCGCTGGATTTTTTTATGGTGATCTCACAACAGAAGTATTCGCCACGCAACCGGAGACAGTAGAAGTATTACGTCAAAGAATTGTACACGAGTGCGCGGTTATAACACCCGAAATATTACAACACGTTCGAGAACGCTTTGAACAGAACCTGTATTCGTGCATGGAAGCAGGGGGTGCTCAATTCGAACATTTAATCAAGTAATTGTTTCAAAGCAGGGTACTACTTTTTGTGTATTATTCCTTAGGCAAAATCTTGTTGATTTAAACTAAATTTCTTATTTTAGACCCCATTTCGATTCCTGTACAATTAATGAAATATCAAAGCATCATCAATTTATGAAAAGTCTGTTTTTCAGCCCGATTGAACCAAATGTGACAAAAACTCAAAAAATAAGACGGCGCTGAAAAGAGGCTTTAATTACCTTTCAAATCATGTGCTACTTGACCCCGCATTACATTTAATATTTTAAGGGTGGATGTCACCCCCGCGTGGGGTTTGAATTAGGGGCTTCAAAAATAGTCGCATCTTATTTCCTCTTCGAAAATAAAGTTGACGTGTTTCACCCTTTTGTCCTTTTCACACCAGAAATGCCTTTAAATTGCCTTGTTTCGTTTGAACTGGGACACCCTGTATGTGTCCTTATATGACATGTGAGCGAAGATCGACTATTAAAAATCATGCAAATTGTCTATCATTGTCTATCTGCTGCATGCAAAATGGTTCACCTACTTGTAGTTCCGCTTCCTTAGCTGTTCGAACCATTGCTAGTAGAGTTTGAGTCGTTGACATGTCTATTAGAGGAGGAAACATAGCTGTTGCCGCTCCAGAAAATGGACTGAGGGAGGAGGCGAAATCAGATTTCTTGTTTGCTATGTCTGCATCTTTCAATGTGGGTGTGGTGTTTAAGTTCGATAACAGTGCAGTTGGGAACGTGATGGAGGGAACAGAAGATTTAAACCGCGGATCTACAGGCGGTGGAAACCCATTCCTGGTAGTACTAAAAAAACTGAAAATTTCAAAAGCATACATTACTACAATATGATCGAAAAAAACGGCGTCAGCGATGGCTATGAAATGAAGATCGCTGTCATTTTATATGTAAAACTATATTGGGAATGTCATTGACCGTTATTTTCAAGTCAACTGGGCGCCGTTTTTTTCCGATCATACGGTACATTAATCGCCCATTTTGTAAAAATAGTCATATTGAATCGAATTTTTGGGAACCTTTCGATTTTAAAGGGTTTATTTAATTTTAGGTTTCAATTTCAAATTATGTAGTGTCAAGTAGTGTAAAAATGATAATAGTTAAATAAAATGATTTTAGTTTTTTTGTTTTTTTTTCTAACTTACAACCGTTTAAATACAAAAGCATTTCTTCTATAGTATGTTCCTAAATTTTTCTTATTGACATTTTGAGAAAAATGCATCATAAAAAATTTTTTGCTTGTTCTAAAATGGTTAATCGCGTTTAAACTTTTCCAAATTTTCATTCCGTTTTAGAGAAAATTAAAGTCGTTTCTATGGTGATCTCATTTCGATTTCATTATTTGATAGACTGTTATTGATAGAATTTATAGCTTTGCATATTAACAAAATAATAATAAACAAAATATATAATTGTTTTGGGTCGCGACCGTTGTAAGCGATCTGGCGCTGCTATAGCGGTTGCTAAGAGCATCCGCAAACAATAACAAAAATAATTTTCTCTTGCCAAAGTCAGAATCCTCAAAAATTATAGAATCTTTTAAAATTTAAACCACCCTCATTGAAAAAATACCGAAAAGTGTTTACAGCGTCCATTCTCAAAGTAATTATTGCTATCTTGTGAGTTTAATTTAAATTTACTTACTTAAACCCGTGATAATTGTGAAAAAGTGACATTAAAAACTAAAAAAATGTTTTGTGAACTGTGTACTGCAAAAACCATCGCGGATCGTGTTGGTTTCCAATGTTTCATAGGTATTTCCATAGATTTAGGAAGAACAGATATCACATTATGCATTTTAACCCGATCAAACATTCGGAGGTTGACTACGTACTGTAAAAATCAACTGAGATAGAGAAGGCGACATTGCCACATATCAAATTTGCGCCTATCTACTTACTTTGATTTGCAGAAAAGGTGACTTTAAAACCTTCACCGGATATCAATAAATCTCAATTTCTTAATTAAATTAATAGTTTATTTTTAAAGAAGCATGCGTAATAATATGGTTATTAACCAGAGGATATATGCGTTACTATTAAAAGACATGTTTACTGTTTAATGTGCTGAAACGTCTAGAACTACTGGCAACGTCGCTGCTAGTCTTGCAGAATGAAATGAGCCGTCCGTCCCACCACCCCTCGCGACGGCCATTGGTCCGTTATAGCGTACTACGTTTAGCTTACGGTGTGTTTGAAGTCGGAATCAAGTCCGAAGTGAACTTTTCAGTGTTTTTCAGTAGTTTTTGTTTAATGTACTTTTGAATCTGCGAATTTTCAATATGGTACGACAGTGCCAAATGTGTGGACAAATAAGCTCAAATTACCCGAATTTGTCTTTTCACAGGTAGGTATTGTTTCCGCCGCGCCGTAATCGTACATAGGCGTCCCACAAGGGAGCCTTTCACAATTAAAATAATTTCTAATTATATTTGTTGAATTTTGATCTATTAAAACAAGAACGTAGTAGCCGGTAATTGAATTATAATTCGTCTCAATTACTACCTAACTGTTGTAGATCATAAAAAATTTGAATATAAACGTTACATTTGAAACTTTATTATAAGCCAGAAAGTGACATTTTTTTCTTAAAATTGCGTCTTATTTTGGTCATTATATACGATATTCTAAAGGAATTTTGCTTAATAAATAAACAAAGGTGTTTACCCGACCTTTTTTACATTTTATTAGCTTTATTATATCTGCCCCTTCGGCCTTGTTTAGACAATTTTTTACCACCGTACAAATACATCTTCCTAGAGTTATTTGTACGGTGTGTTTAACTTTTTTTAGAATGGGACGAACTGTAAATAATTCTTAGGCTACTAGTTTTATACATACCTATATCAAAAAAAAGCTTTTTACCTATTACGTTTTTGGTTTGTGATTTTTATTTCAATTTTTTACATAAGATGGGGGCCATTGTAACGCACATTTTCAAAATTTTCTTGTCAACATACAGGGTGATTCAAACCGCAATACATATGCTTAATACAGTTCATGAAGATTAGGACATTTAACTAAAATTTGAATATCTGATGAAGCTACCTTTAAAAGTAATGGATTTGTAAATAAACGTAATAGGTATTTATTATTATGCGACAGAAATCCCATACTGTAGCACATAGATTTTATAATTTTAATGATAAGTGCCTTCTATTGCGAGACTAAAAGGCAATTGCCTCGTATCAGAGCCATCATAATACAAGAAGAAGACCGAAAGTCAAATATTGTCTTATATTTAAAAAAAAACACAATTTTCTCATTAAATATTGATTTTAGGTATAGGAAGTTATTAATAATACAAGATTAAACAACTATTACACAGTACTTCACAGGAAGCTATCGATTGCGAACTAACTAAATCGTTACTAATTAGGTACTAATTTTGAAAAGTTCTTTTTAAGATAAAAAAGGTAAAACTAAAACCTAAACGATCATTTGAGATTAAACGGGAAGTTCTAAATAATGTTGCCTATTCTAAACAAGAAAAATTTATTTATAAGTTAAGTTTTATAACATTCCTAATTAAATTTGGGCGAAAAGAATATTTCTGTTTGCTGTAGGTAATTTTCTCAGGGAAAATACGTAAATAAAAATGACTTTTTAAGTTAAAAAAGTCAAAAGGATAAGTTATTCCAAAAGGACTGTCCTTTTCAAAAAGGACAAGTGGCAACCCTAGGTATTTCTGGAATGGAAATTTAATGGCAAATCTACAACTTTGGTTTGAAAATATGTTCCGGCCACCTATGTTTACAAAAATGTCTAAAATGTGCCTAAATGCCTCCATATTCTGAAAAAAAATTGAAAGAAAAGTCACCAACCACAAACCTAATATAGAACTGTTTCGGAAGCCTGAGTCACCCTGTAAATATTCAAAAGTAACTGAAAGTTTATATAGAAGTAACTGAAAGTTTAAATTAAAAATCGACGTAGGAGTGATTTTCGAAAACTACTAGCGTTTCAACATAAGTATATGTGGGATATTAATTGTATTATTATATTAGACCTTATAACAAAACTCATCTGACGAAAAAGTGTTAATGTAGTATATTAATATGGGTAAAAAATTTTACTAATTACTTTACTTTTACTTTACTAATTAAATTCGTTCCAAAAAACGATACTCCACTGGCCATTAGAACAATCCCAAATGCGCCTAGTTGCCGGGGTCGGAAATTTTAGACTTCTCTGTCTCTTCTGTCCTTGTTTGACACATTGGAATGTTTGATACACTACCAACGAGTATTTATGAATGAGATGTTCGGTCTATCTTTATAATATCTTTGGGTATTTCACATACATGTCCTTATATAAAATAAAGTTTCTTGTATGCAACACACTCTATTTTATTTATAAAATTAAAAGAAAATAATAATAAATCTGAATAAAAATAATATTTGGTTAGGTTAGGTTAGGTTAGGTTAAAATAATAATAAATTTGAATAAAAATAATATTTGGCGACATAGTTCCGGAAAAAGCCGAACCGATCCGAAATTATGAAAAGCGAAAAAATGTTTACATTGTCCTTTAGGCACTTTCCAATCTAAACTTGTTTCATTTATCTGTGGATATTAATTACCGTCATATTATTTGCTGTTTTAAAATGTTAAAGAAGCACAAAATTTATTTAGTTCAATACTACTGGAAGGGTGATAATAGTTATCGGAAAATGTGATAGTTTAACAGCAGCAAAAAATATGGCGTTAATCAAAATTAATAAGAACCGTGTATGTAAGAATGAAATCGAATTGATTTTACCTTCTGATTTTTAAGATAAACGGGATTAACCATTTTAGAACAAGCAAATTATTTTATGAAGAATGCCTTTTCCTTTAAATATCAATAATAAAAAAAAAATTCCTCTTGTAAAGACAGTCCGGGGACATACTGAATAAAAGGCATTTGATGGCAACGAAACTATTACAAAAGTAAAAATATAATAAAAGTATCCCTAAAAAAGTCAGTATGTAGAAAAGAGAGAGAGTCAAATATGTCAAAAATGAGAGAGTCACAAAAACAACGTTTAAAGGCTCTGCTATCGTTTATATAAAATATGCGGAATTCATTACATTTTATTTTGTTACTTTTGAGTTGTGACTAAAATTAAAAATATACATGCTATTAAGTTGTCTCATATTTATCTCTACTTTTTTCTCATTATTACCTTTGTGAGTGTTTCAAATCTACTCCTCTAAAAAATAGCTTCTGATACCAACAGGACTTCATTTAAACGGATATGCACGCGATGACACGGGGCCGAACGCTTACTACTTCATATTGAAGTCACCTGACAAAAATTAATAGCCAGTTTCAAAAGTTTTAGACCTCGAAACCTGACAATGGATTTGAAATTTCTGTTTTTCTATGATTTATCAAAAAAAGATTAAACAAATTATGGGGATGATCTGTGTTAAATATTTCTAACAAGAAAACCAACTGAATATAAGTTTTCAGTAGCTTTATTGGAATGTCTCATTTTATATCTAAATATGGCGTGTCTCATTTTTATATTACTTGACCCTATACAGGGTCCGGTAAAAGTGCGTCGGGCATCTGTAATTCTATAGTATAAAATTAATAAAGAACTTGGGAATTTTGTTTAAGTGCAAACCTAAAATATGTACTAGAATGTATTTCAGGAAAATATTTAACTTCTACAGGGTGCCTCAAAAAAGTGTGAGAGGATTTTAAATGTTACACTCGAGGGGTAAACAGCTGACCCAAATTCTGTACACTAAACCTCCTAATAGCTAAATAATTCCTGAATACCTCCTGGGAATTCCTAAATACCTCCT